GAAGCAGGTAAGAGTCAGTTCTGTAGCCTGAATTGAACGTACCCTCCCACTGCTACGGAAAATATCTACCAAAGGCTAGATAAAAATAGCCCGCAGCCACACCCTGAGTATCCAACCACACTGAATAGGATTTTACACATAATACATGTGGTGTAAAAGAAGATTCCCACAGTTCATCTAGCAGGTTAGCCAGAGCTCAGCCAGTTCCTGGGATCACAGAGATGTGGATTATGAAAAAGGCATGTCTTTGCACAATCCCTCCTGCTCTCCAACTCCTCTGTTAGAGAGCAGGAGGGACTGCTTTTCTGTCCACCCCTCAAGGGTTGAACCTGCGTTACAACCCAGCTGGAATCCCGACTCTGTCAGACTTCTTTAAGCTAGCTGGGACTCCGCTCTCTACAGCCCACAATTTCACAACAGCAATGGCCTGTTGACAGGTTAATGCAGGAGTCTACCAGTCCACTGTATCACTCTGGATGGTTACTAGGATACAGGAGTGTTTGTTTAGTGCTGTTGTGATCAAGAAACGCAGATGAAGAGTCAGACACGCCTGAGTGTAATGTGGACATGCATCAGATGGCAGCGATTTAATCTTAAAAAAGTGACACTATAGAGACAAATCTTTGAAGGCCACAAAATAACAGGCCTGTTTTTAAAAAAGAGAAACATCACTGTAAATACAAGCTCTGGGCAATGAATATGAGGACAATCTGCCAGCATAAATTAGCTAAAATATACGACTTTGAGTTCTTGTACTCGCCTGTCAATGTGCTGTTCGGAGCACTTACACCCCCCTCGCTGAAATAAGACTGTAGAGTCATGTTTAAATAAATTCTATGCATCCATGTTTCTCATATGCTACGGTTTTAAATGTCCAAGCCTATTTCTATTGACCTTAACCTTTTTCTGTATACCTGCAATTCCTAAATGTAATGTTACCGTTTTTTAAACAGTATATGAAGACTGTCACTTTAGTAGCAAAACTGCTGGCTAAGGTGTTCTCTCGATAGCAATATCAGTATTTATTCACTTTAATGAAACGTTTTCAAAGATCCATCTGTCTGAAAGTTGATTCCAGTGAAATTGGAAAGAAGAGCCGGAGGGACAGCTGCAGCCAAGACCAAAGCCACTTTCTACTCCTCCCTGAGCATGTGTTTGTGGGCATGAATCTCACGTCTCAATGTGTGTTGCTTCTATTTATAAAACTCTGACCCTGTGGCCTGTGTAACTCCTCCAGGTGCCCTTTGCTGTGAGTCTCCCACCATCACCCCTAGCGGGCTCATCTGTACTCGCAAGATTTGTGTGTAGACAATGACGTAACACACCGAGATAAATATGCGCAGCCCGGTCCTACCTGGGGCAATTTGTGCTAACATGTTGTTATCCTACTATTTTTAACAGCAGGAAAAATTAAACAGTGCATGAAAGTTGCACTAATTTCCCATTTTTTATTGTTCTCGTTATTTTATGTCATCTTTACTAGGCAGCCACACACAGCATTGACATGTCAAATTGGACAGAGCTCACCATGTTTAAAAACCACTCTCACTCCAGCCTAATTTGGGCTACTTGGGACATTTATGGATCACTTACACCACTGGCTGTAATGTTACATGAGCTAGCATGACCATAAAGTCATCATCTATCAGTCCAGCCTAAATGTTGCCCAAAGAAAACTTTAGATGTGGATTGCTTATTATTTTCTCCTGAGAAAAGGCTTTACTTGTGGTTTCCTGACTTTTACTTTTAACTCAGAGTCGCCAGGTTCAGGATTTGTTTCACTGTACGTGCAATGACCCCAGTTTTATAAAAATTTGGAAGGAGGAAATTAGAGGTCATCCATATATATACTGTATGTATTTAAGACATTCCTGCATCGATCCATTTTCTGCCGCTTGTCACGGTTTGAGTCACGGCGGCAGAGAAGCCCACACTTCCCTCACCCCAGCCACCTCCTCCAGCTCATCCGAGGGGACACCGAGATGTTGCCAAGCCAGCTGAAAGATGTGTTCTCTCCAGTGAGTCCTGAGTCTCCCCTGGGCCTCTTCCGAGTACGACATGCCCGGAATACCTCATCTAGGAGGCGTCCAGGAGGCATCCTAGTCACATGCCAGAACCACCTCAACTGGCTCCTTTCAATGTGGAGGATGAGCAGCACACTCAAGAATAACTGAGATAAAAGGAAGGTTGGTGATTGGCTGTAGTTAGCTAAGATAACTCGGTCAAGTGATGCTGAAGTGAAGTAGTGGTTTCATTATTGCCAGCTGGAAGTCCTGTGGTACATGATTGATCAATTTCAAGATCGAATCATTAGTTATCATTAGTTGTTAAATGGATGCTATTAGACAGTGAAGAAAGTTGTGAGGTTATTGCACAGTTAAAGACTTTCCACATTGCTGTTTCGTATACTGTGTTCTCTGCCCACAGGGACTATACTGATACAAGAGCAAATAATCATTTTAATCTTGTTTCATAAGCAAATGAATATGCATTCGAGCAAACAATATCACAGAGGTTATTTCTGTACTCAGCTATGATTCACTAAAGAGAAAGCAGACAGGACAAAACAACATCCCCGCGGTGTCCATCTGCTGACCAAGACAAAGCAATTAGAGAAATAATGGCTTAAAGGGATTACCTGCTGATTATTGTCCAGACAGCATGCAACCAGAACACAAAGTCTAAGGCTCCTCTGAAAGAGGTAAAAGGACTGTGCGTGTGCATTTAAGTACAAAGAAACACATAACCAGCGTTTTGGTTCTTTTCATTCCATCAGCATCTCCGTTGTTCGCTCCATCTTTATAGTTCGTCTCGATATATAGAGTGAGGGAAAGTTTAAAGCGGGACAACGTTGTTTGTGGTCTCATTCTACTCTTCCACATACACACTAATAGCTGCCGGGCTGGTCTTGGCGGAGCTGCTGCTGCTGCTGCTGGTGGTGCAAACTGTCCTGAAAACATCCAGAGGATGTGGTCTGAAGGACAGCAGTGCAGAGAGATCCAGTGCCTGCTAATAGGGATTAATGCTGTCAGAGGATCAGCTGTGGCATACCGGATATCTTTGTAAAGTTTAACAAAATACCACAGCTACCTAACAACATGCACTACAATGCGTTTGCAAGAAGGGTTTCTGAGCCAAAATGAGTTAGGAGTTTGTAAAAGGATCCTTATTTTCTGCAACTGCTTTCCTAATAAAAGGCTTCTTCAAATATGACCTGTGTTCTCTGGACTCCAAAACCTGTGCTGTGTTTCCTTGTCTGCTATAAAGAACAACAAACATGTTTAATGTGTCAGCTACTAGTGCAACGGACACAACAGTTAGGTCTGTGGAAGACACCCGCCAGCAGCTGACAGGCAGGATCAGTGTCTGAAGTCAGCTGCCGAGCAAACGGGCACCCTCTCATGAATGACAGCTATTCACCTCTCCCTAGAACATCATATGAGTGCTGCCTCCTACTCAGCACAGCGGCAGCGCACAATGTGACACTGTGTTTTCTGATACAGTACAGCCTGGTGGAGAGGGGGTGACAGAGAAACAGATAACCTGCACTGTGACCTTGAGGACAGCGATCGTCCGCCGGCGACCAGAGGTGATGTCAGCAAGAGTTACCTGACCTGACACGAGGCGGTACAATGGTGACCTAATGCATGCAGACACTTTTGCTTCTAAACTTGGATAAAATATGTGTCATGCAGTGGAAAGTAGGGCAGCACTAGCTACTGGCACTTTCTTTCTGTACCCTTCTCTAACCTTGCTTATCTCTCTCTCACACACACACACAGAGATAAATGTTCATTTGTTATGAAAACTGATCCTCCTGGAGATCCATGCCTTTCCTCCATTACGTCAGATGATGCTCATGTCACACACACACACGTGCAGAAAATCTAAACTTTCTCTTATCGCTGCAGTTTCTGCATCGCTAGCTCAGAAATCCCCCTGATACCCTCACCTCACTGTTATGCAGAGAAGACAGGCAGAGATGACAGAGCAAAGATAACCTGCACTGGTTGGTAGAGATAAAAAGGAGATAAAAGGGGTGGAGAGAAGGGAAATGTAGGTTTTAGACCACACAATAAGGTTGAAGGCATTTCTGGTAATAAAAACGTGATTGAAAATCCAGGAAAAGAATGTGTGTGGTATTTGAGACAAATGAAGCCAGTCAGTTTCATGCAAAATTCATATGCGCAGCCAATGCTTAAAGTGAACACAGTGGCATCCTTCTATGACATCAGTGCCAGCTGGCCCTTAGCTGGGTACCGCAGAAGATGTCTGCAGTGTCAGTCAACTATTCGTGCTGCCATTGATTCATACTGTAGGCAGCAGCAGCAGCAGCAGCAGCAGCTCTAATGGTATGTAATAGTGCAGCATGCAGAGAATTGCATAAGAAGAAGCCATGCTTGTAAACAAGGAGGGCGAGGACCACAACCTCCCACAGCAGCGCCACTGCAACAAAGCTAACAGCTGTGAGGGCTCATCGTAGGCTGTGTCAACAATACTTGCCTCATTCACTGTCACGAAACTGCAGGAATGTCATTTTCTGACACACACACACAGAGCGCACAAATGTCTGCAACTGCACCCTATTCAGGAAAACCCAAACATCTACCTTGGTTACAAAAACAAACAATGTGGGAAGACACCTCGTCTGTGGGACTCTGGTTGAGAAACCCGTCTAGTAACATCAGTACATTCCCGAGATGTGACTCTTATTGCAGTCAAAGAATACACATGTGCAGCAAAGAGCAGATTGAATGACAAGCAGATAACAGGCAATACTCACAGGAGCTTTAAAGATTAGTTAAAAAGAAAGAAATCCTCGTCCATCATCAGTAAAAAGACTCCTTTCACAATTCTCCTCCTCCCTCCTCTCAATGCTTTTTGTCTTTCACCAGCAAACTGAGAGAAAGAGCGGCTGAAGGCAGACAGGAAGATCTGCAGTGCTGAAACTCAGTGTGCTACCTCCTTCTCCCTGTTTCTCTCCTCCCTCCCCTGCCTACCTCCCTCGCAGTTTTCTCCAAGGTCAGTAGGCAGAACCGACTGCTTGACTCCTCCCTTAGTGGACAATACCCTCCTACAGGCTGGACGCACAGGCAGTAATTACCATCATGATCCAGATTAACTCCTGGGTGTGTTTTTGTTGTGTGTGTCCAGGCTGCGCTCAGGGACAACACACAGGCAGGATTACCGTAGGGAAGGTGGGGAGAGGTGGGGGACGGTTTAGATACCGGGCAAGAGGCAGCAAGCCTGGGATACTCTGCAGCAAACACTGTCTGTTCTTTCATCATGCCCGAGATATAACTCAAACTAGCAGCATCGTGAAATTAAAAAGACGGATTATTAAGGAAAAATGAATTCATGTCTTGCCACAGCATGACTCCTGTGTATAGAGGAGATCGGAAACAAAATCGAAACACAATAAATGAACGACTTATAGTCGATGACTATAAGTCATCAAATCCCTTATTAGGGTTTACTTCTCAAAACTAAGACCAGATGAATTTGCTGCCGTTTTGGAGCCATAAAAATAACCGAATGTGCGCATGGACTGTGAATATTGACCACTCAGGAGTGTGCTGTCAAATACTTGCTGAGTTGTGCAAAGTCAACCCCTGTAGAGACAGATCAGGAGATTTACGGAACATTTAGATGCCTGACTCACTGGCTTTAGAAGCTGTGATGGGGATACGAGTCAGTGAACGAGGAGCTGGAGGTTATTTTAAGAGAAATATAAACGTGTAACAGTCACCGGCGCATCTCGATTGATTCATTTAATTGGTGTGTATTTGTATGTTCATATTTTCCAGATATTGGTGGTTAGAAAAATTCATCTCACCCAAAGGCTAGTGGAAGCATCACTGATCCAAACAGACTCTGCTGTATGATAAACATCTGTTGCATGTTCACAATTCAAAAAGACGTAAAGAGCCCACCGACTGACCTGCTTTCAGAGACGCCTAGAATCATCCATGGGAACTGGTTACGTCATGTGCAGCGGGGGAGCGCGATTTGTCCTTTTAGTGCAGCTAGTTTTCCTGTGATGTGCTGCCACCCTGTGGTTTTCTGGTGTAACTACAACACCTGTAAGCATGTGACGTTTTGGATGAATGACGTCAGATGTTATGATTGCTCAAATGAAACCAAAGCAAAATAAAATCTGAAGTAATTTTCACTCTGGTAATGTACATTAATTAACAGGCAGCTCAAGTTACAGCTTACTTTGTATTTCACAAATTCTGAAATAGCATGCTCAAAACCAAGCCAAAGAAATACAACAATTAAACATGCAAATGGAAAGTTGGGCCAGCCAACGGATCATTTTTACATAGAAGAACACGTAGAAAAGGACTGGAAATAAACAACAACAACAAAAAGCAACTGAGGATGAACACAAGGATGTAGTTACAGTACAGGACCAGCAGATGGAGGCGTACAGTGTGAGATGGATAAACCATGAACATGTAATGGACAACAAAGCTACAGTGTCACTGTTACCTGATGTTCCATCGATTCGTTTACAGTTCAACTGCCCTTACATCCACTGACAAACAGCCATGTTGGAATAATGATGCTTTTAAATAATTCTGTGTTAGAATTGGGAGCGTAATAGTAGACAGTCTGGTGCTTAATCAATTCAGGTGAGTCCAAAAGGCACGTCACATGGAAACGAAACATGGCATGAGAAGAACACCGTGGCCACATCAGTAAAATCACCTGGAAGTCGAGGCTTGTGCAGGGAACATTTCGAATTTGCCATATGATCCTGGCACAAACTGCAAAAACACATCTTCAAGTCCTGCTATAAAAACCCCACAGTTCCTCTTTTATTTTAATCGAATGAATTAAAATTTTAGGCCTCCGAAACATCGCACCACATCCTGTGGAAAAGACCTGGAATGACTTCTAATCAGCATGATGACTAAGAGCCAGGTGAACACAATTAAATGATCCAAATCTATTTAAAAAGCATGTAAAAATGAGTAGTTGAAGTAAACTCTTAATGAAATACAGTACACGTCTTCCCTTCCTGTGCTAACAAAAAGGCAAATCAAACTTCCAATACTGCATGAAAAAGACATCCATGTGTATTCAATACAGAAATGAGCTCAAACAGAACACTGGTGTCTGTGACTTTCCCTAATTTACACTTCTTCCATGTGACCTTCTAAAGTGTCTTTTTACGGATTTGTCCGTAAGGAATCTCTTAATGAAAAACCTGAGCCGTACCAAGTCGTCTGCATACAGTGCATCAAATAACCACATAATGAATACATACATTAAATATTGACCATAATCATCAAGTATGTCACCTTTTACTATTTGTACCACATCTGTGCCTGCATCTTTAAAACTTGCTCAGAAACGGTTTGATCTGCTTAAAGGCTGATTTCTTCTCCTGTTTGCTTAACCATCAAGTAGCTTCTCAACACGAATTAAAAACAAAACAAAACAGCACTTTAACATGAAAAAGTATATATTGTAAGCCGAGAGGTCGAACACTGTTTTACTGTAGTAAGTAAGGACAGAATAGGTAGCATTAATGAGTGTTATTACTGTGTATGGATGCCCCTTTTTTTTGCCTGCTGTCTGAACTGGGTTGCTGGCTGTGAACTATGGTCTTACTGTAGGCTCTAACAGCAGGTATGGTCACGTGAACTGTATCACAGTGTCAAGGCATAACATGGCTCATCATGGCAGAAGACAGGAAGCACCTGATGGTGGAAAGGAAGTTAGGGGTCTGCATCAAAAAGAAGAAATACATCAGGTTATGTGATGTAAAAAGACATTGTGACTTCAGTCTGACACTGTATTTCTGTTTGTGAAGGCGACATAAAGTTGAAACTATGACACAGAGTCTGAGGAAATGCAGCAAAATCAAGTCCGACGTCCACAGTACGTGACATTAGCGCTCCCTGGTCCACGGTAAAGAACAGGAAAGAAACACGGGCATGTCGAGTTCACGCGTCGGTTTCACGTCATCTCTGGTCAGCTGTACTCTACTGCAGCTGATCTCAGTCTCTATCAGCCATCCTGTTATGCAGTTTCTCAGGAGCAAACCTCTCTACTTTAGCAGGACTATCTCTCTGCTGTACAGCTTAATGGACTTCCATGGGAAGCACTGTCAGATTAGGTGAAGCAAGCAGGCAGGGTCAGTGACATGACTGGTTAGAGCAGGACACTAGAAGCCAGGACTTCAGCTGTGGTAGCTGGGCACAGCCGCCTGCTTCTGCGAGAGCCGCAGAAGCTCCTCCCGGATGGCCTTGATCAAGGAGGCAGAGGAATGAGTGGGAGGAGAAGTATCCAGAGGTGGGGGGGCTGTCAGATAACCCACACCATCTAGATGGGTCGGGGGGGCCGTGGGCTCCCTGATACCACTCCGGTGAATCTGGAAGATAGAGGAGGACGAGCAGTCAGGGGGTCCATAAATAGCAGGCAGGACAGAAAGGGCAAACAGAACAACAGGGGGAGGTGATAAAAAAGAAGAGAATAGATAAGATAAAAAATATCAAGTAACAAAAACAGAAGAACACCAGAAAATTAGAAGAAAACCAAACTGAAACTGTGGGTGTTTCTCAAAAGCAATAAAGTTGGCTTCCTGTTAGGATCAAGTTACTGTGCGTTTGTTTTTAATAATTCGATGATTAAATGAAAAGTTTGGGGTTTCAGGTTTCAATGGAATTAAATGAACTTGTTAATGAAAAAGTAAAAATGTGCAATTCACTCACTGCATCTTTTTCAGCTTCTGCTCTGGAGAAATTGTCATCATGATAGTGGTTCCAGCCTAAGCCTCCATTCTGGCCCGGAGCAGCCCTGACTCCTGCTGGGAAACCATTCATCCGACTGGACAGACCCACTTGTGCAAGATGATGGAGCTGGGCACCTAAAAAAATAAATAAACACATTATACTTACTGGCACTAATTTCCTAAAGACCCAACCTTAATCATGCCAGCTTCTTGCCCAACCTTTAACCTTACTGTATCTTCCATTCCTACTCAAAACTGCTCGGGATCACTGCAGTATTCTTTTATGCTCTCTCATCTAAGCAGAGAATATATGAAACTGTCTTTACTCGGCATCAGCGTCTGAAAATTTGTCAGCTGCATGCAAATTTATACCCACTGTAAGTGAAGTTACAAAGTTATTGGCAGCTGCCTGACTGTCTGTCCTCAGATTAGCCAAGCTGTTTTTGGGTGAGAGTGAGCGTGCACCCTGGACTGGTTGCACATCTATCACAGATGTTCTTCAATCATTGCAGAAAACATTGGCAACCTGAATCAGCTGTACGTTTTGCTGACACACCCCATTCCTGCTGCAACAAATGGCTTTAATCGCACGCGCCGCACTCAGCCAGTTCAGAAAGGGCATATTTTAAATGCAAGAGTTATTCCTCTGTAGTGACAGCTAGTGCAAAACCTTTCACGTTTGCACTAGTTATTTCTGTCAGTGTTACATATTCTCAGCAGTTTATTGCTAAACAAAGTCAGAGATAAATAGTGTATAGCTCTAAGAATAAAAAAAGGGACATATTTGTGCTAATGGTTCATTTTGTTGTTTAGCTGTAACTGACAGTGGGAGTGTTTACATTTAGATGGATTAAATATAGCATAAAGACTGAGACGGAGATTAAACACTGAGATAAAGAACATACATGTCTATCTTTAAGCATGATTGCTTAAGATGTGCGTTTCCTTTTTTCCTATTTAAAAAAAAAAAAATCTGCAAAAAAGTTGAAAACGAGATGCAGAAATGAATGGACACCATGAGCTTTGTTTGGGGGGACAGAGCAACAGCCTGAACATAAAATATTGTTGTGTTAATGTTGCATTTGTGTGATGCTATCGAACTTCCTTGTGTACCTGTGGTTCCTCCCACTGGACGCGGTCTGGCAGATGAGGGCAGTTCATCAGCGTAGAGGCCCCTGCTGGAGTACAGGCTGTCTGGCTGGAGCTGCTCACCGTGCCCCGCTGCTTCTCCTGGTGGCAGGTAGCTCGAGCCAAGGCCCTGCCTGAAACACAGACCAAAAAACTCATTTATGATTTAAGAAAACATAAGGACGCACCAATAGCTGAATTCTGGGTCAGTTTAAAGTAAACAATTTGACTAATAGCAGATGATGTTTTTTCCCCCTTTTTTGCAGTTACTGAACATGGAGACATTTCATACTGTGTGTGTATTTGTGCTACTTTTTTAGCACGCTTTACATTTCTAATCACAGGGAGTCCTTCCTATATGGTGCAATCAATAATCTGATAGTCAAGCATTTCACAATTTGGTACCAAATAGTGGAAACACAAATGGTTGACAGCTGATGCTCTACGTGTGTGTACACGTGCAGCCTTTTCAGAGTCTATTAAGAGGCAGCTGTTCAGACCTGATCCATTGAAACAATAAAATAAAGAGGACTCTTTGTCATTATTCATGAGGCTCAACTCTATAAATGTAAACTAAAGAAAATGTCCACACGGGTGAAAGTTCACCTGTAATTATAAATAGGAAATACCTCTTGGGGTATGAAGAACATGTGGAAAACGACTCTATTTTCAGCTGCTTTACTGACCTTGTTGCCATGCCTTGCACTGCAGCAGAGGACATCTCAGGGAATCTCTGGGGAAGACCAACAGAGATGTGCTGTGTTTAAGTGACAATGATCAAGTACCAGTGATGACAGAGGTCTGAGGTATAAACGGTGAACTGTTTTTATTGGAAAAGAAATGCAAAAAAGATTTTTAGTTGATGCAGTTATTCTTATGAGATCACAGCCTGCTGTGTGTGTTACAATTTACTGTACTGTTGGTGGTTATTTTACATAGTGAACATTGTTATTTTTACCAAGCAAAATTTTGTTGGATATCCATATTTTTAATAGCATATAAAAGCACCATCAAAGGGCTGTTTATGGCTGCACTGCTCAGTGTTTCTTTCACTCGTCTGGGGTGAGCACCCGTGTTGGATAGAGGACAAAGTATTGTTATTAACAGCTGTAAAGCAGCATGAAAGATAAGAAAGCATTTAAAAAGTGTATTCAGGGAGTGAAAATGTATTCTCTGCAGTCAAGAAGGTCTGGGATTAAATCTTTAAGGTTGCACTTCCAGGGAATGAATGAATGAAGTGACACATTTAGATCTGGACCATAGAACAGCCATACAATGCTTCTATTTTGTTTTTGTTTAGAGTAGATTTTTGCACTTGTAAAGTACCGATTAGATTTTCTTCTTCTTACACAAACAACCTTAATTTCAGCTAAGCCCTCTACCTCTCATGGATTTCAAAGCCAGGGATAATTGTACATGAATAGTATTATGCTGCCGTAGCTAAGTGTTAATAACAGAGGTTGGCACTGCATAAACTGGCCTCGCTTTGTAAAGCCTTCCAAGCAGTTTCTTTGAAAGTAGCCTATACCAACAGGAATTAATAAAGATTACGTGGGTGATGGCTATATCACTGAAGGGTCTTAGGAGCTCTACATAGCCAGTGGGGGGGGGCTAAGGTTGCACCTTGCAACAGATGGAGGAATACTTAAGTCAGTACTTTGCTAAGAGGACGTGATTATACTGGAAGCAATAGGCTTCATGCTGAGCAGGAGAGCAAGACACCTTAAGAAAGTGAATGCAAAGCTGTGTCTCCCACTGTTTCTATTTGTAACACATATTCTTGTTCCATGCAATATGGCAGCTGAATTATTTATAGCTGACTGGATGGACAATGCTCCAGCCAGAGCGTTTGTACACAGACGGCAACTTACGCTGGGGAAAGCTTGGTAGGAAAGACCCCAAGGTCTCGGCCCATGACCTGGAGGGCTAGAGTTAGGAGGGTTGCTGTTGACCCCTGGGAGAGTGATCCCAGCAGTGCTGCCCTGAGAAGTGGGTGACACAAGAGCGAAGGCGTCGTCCAACAGGGAGTGCATCTGCTGCCGTGCTTCCTCGATGGAGGGCTGTGGGGGCATGTACGGTGGTGGGGGAGGGGCATGGCCGGGAGGAGAGGAAGTGGGGGCTGGGAAGACATCATCTGTGGGGGAAGGACTCCTGTGAGGGGATCCTGGGCCTTGGTCAGGGTCCGACTGGAAAACATAGACGGCAAAGAAGTCAGAAAGGTTGCAGGGTCCGTGAAAGGTTTTCCTACTTCTTCTGTGTTACTCACCACATAGGCCACATTGTTGACCCCGGGGCACTTTCTGTAAGCAGCATCAGTGTCTTCAGTGATGAGGTGGTCTTTGTCTGCTTCCATCATGCCTCCATTCATCTGGTCTTTCATCCTCTGCTTTGGTGAGCGCCTGCCTCGACCACTTAGAAACACATGAAGAAAGAGAGAAATATATTATCAGCATGCACAGAAAATCAAGTTCTCCACCAAAAAGTCAAAAATTCATAACCTCTAACCTTTTCTTGGGTTCCATGAAGACGGAGGGCATCTGAGCATCCGGGTCCAGGATCTTATCGATTTGCATCTGTTCTTTGCGATAAATACGATCCGGATCCTTTGCATCGCCAAGACCGCCTATGTCATCCATAGCTGGGAAGTCATAGTGGCCCTTCCTCTTGGCGCGAAGACGAATCTTGTTACGATGATGCTCAATTTCTGACTTGTGCCTCAACGCTACCTGGATCTGAGGATCAAATTACAATTATCAGTATTAGCTCGTTTGGCAAATTATAAGAACCACAGAAGCATCACAAATGAAATTTCAACCACGCGTGAATTACATCTTCCAAAAGACTCTGGAGGATTTCACTTTGTTCCTATGACTTCTTCTTTGAGAAAGAACATTTTCAAACTATCTGACCAAAGAGTTTGTGTCAGGGTTTTGTATTTTTTATTCTGCATTGAGATGAAATTTTTCAAAGGAGCAGATGAGACTCCTGCAAGGCCTGTGGGAAATAATTAGCTTGGTAATTTTTTAACTTCAGCACTAAAAATGTATCAACGTAAACACACTGGAGACAAACTGAAATACTGCAAAGAATGTGGGAGATGCTTCCCCACATCAGGTGACTTAAAACGACATGAACTCTTTCACAGTGGGGTTAAAAAGCACCTCTGTGCTCAGTGTGGGTCATCCTTCACCACTGCAGGTGACCTTAAAACACACAAAGTCCACACAGGAGAGAAACCATACAAGTGCAGACACTGTGACAAAAGCTTCTCATGTTCAGGTAATCGTAACGAGCATGAACGTACACACATGGAAGGAAACTACAGCTGTGAGCTTCGGTAATCTCAGTTCCTACTCCGCACACAAACGATCCCACGTTACTAATAAACTGTTTCACTGTTACCAATGTGCCAAAACATTCACTTCATTATCTGCTCTGTGCAAACATCAGCGCGATCACGCAGGGCTGAAATCGTTCCCATCACAGGATCAGAGTGAATCTGAAGAGAGAGAAACATCTCTCTGGTTTCAGAGTCCAACTTAAAACCCTGGAGATCAGGTCATTTAATGTTAAAGACACTTTAACATTAAACTGCTGGATTACTTATCTCCTTAAAAAAGAAAATGAGAGCAGCAAACCTCTTTGGTCATTTGGTTTGTGTCTGACAATTTTCCATTGACGGGCGGACTGTGGAGTGGTGGGACAGGCATAGGCTGCATGGCGATAAGCTGGACTTTATTGGGGAGTCTCCTGCTTGCGTCGGTGCCACGAGATATCCGATCAACATGTTCAAAGATGGAGGCTGAAGACAGCTGCTCATTTGTATCGTTCATAGGAGGAGGACCTGTGGAGTAAAACAAAGGTCGTGACATGTTAGCAGCGAGTTCACACCGTATGCTAATGCTGATCTAAGCTAGGGGACAGAGATTTTACACAAACAGCTAATGCATAAGGATGACTAATGAAACATGTCCGTGTTTCTTTACCACCTCACTATATTCAAAATATTGGTTGTAATAAAAGTGTGGAGTAAATTTCTTGAAGGTTACGTGAAAATAAAACATTGATTTCTATTTCCAAAAGCTAAGCTTTGTTTCAAACAATGGCTTTTGCCTTTGTTTGTGAAGTTATTGTTTCCATGCTGTGACCGACAGCTCAGCACAGAAGTGATGGATGGTGAGAACTGTGCACAAAACTACCAAAGAACTAACAGACAACACACAGACAGCTGCTGGAGGTCAAGCCTGAGGTCTACAGAGACAGAGACAGAAAGTGGCAAGCTCTTACCAATTCTATTCTTGCCTGCAAACCACAAAAGAAAGGAAAGAGAGTCTTACTAGGGTGAAAGAGATCAAGTAAGAACAAAAATCAAAGTGGTTGCTGCATACTGACAACAATATTAAAAAAAAAACAACAACACAGAGGTGCAGCTGACACGGATGCATGAGAGAAAAGAAACATAACCAGGAAAGATCAAAAGAAAGGAAAAGGCAAGTTTCCATAGGTGATACTTTCATTTCTTCAGATCTTTTATTCAGTAGCTGGAAAAAAGCAAGCAAGATGTTGCTCTGACTAAGAAGAAAGCAAAAAAAGATGCAGCAGATTATTTAATATTGAATGTGTTTCATCTGGAATCTAATTAAACTCTTTTCATCCACCAGGTATCCACCGACCCAATTAAGCTAATACTACTGTTTGGTTGTTTTATTTACATTCTAAATGAACCAAGTCTCATACGTGCATCTGGGATTTTCTCTGGATATGACAATTTGGCAGGAATTAAATTAAAAAAGGGGGGTTGCTGTCAGCCTAACCCAATCCTAACCCTAACCGTAACCAGGTTAAAAGCACCGGGCAGAGCATAGTACAGTATCAGCACAGACTTATCAATAACAAAACACAGACTGTTCCTCTGTGTGTGAGTCAGGCTGCAGTCTGCGCGCCCGACTGCCTCGAGGTCCAGCACGTAATCTCTTGAGTGGCACTGCAGGCTTGAATCTATCAAAAAGCTGTCAGATAAAGTAACTTTAGCATTTTTTTCTTTTTCCTCAATTCCTCTCCGCCTCGTCTTATTTTGACCACTGAATAGAAATTCCTACCAGCTGCTTCTTTTACTTTCACTCTGTTTTATGTCCTTGCCTGGAATCTCTTCACGTCTCCTCTGCTTTGTCTTTTCTTCCTCCCTTTACAATCTCAAACTGGCCTCCTTGTCAATCAAAACATGCTAGCTGTGGTTGTTCTCTCTTTATCTATTTATGTCAGCCAAGTCCCTTCATTTTCTTCCTCCCCCTCATATTTGCTCTCCGTGTTTGGAGGAGCGAGTTGAGTGTTGCCAGGGCCACTTACCGTTTAAAACATTGATGGGGACCTTACGGGTCTGCTTGCTGTCGCTGGGCGTGGCCTGGGCTCTCAGGTTCTCCTCGGTTGATTCCCGCTCACTGGAATGGTCACTTAACACAGAGTCGCCATCTGATGAGGAGATCCTGCCCAGGAAAGACACACAAACACAGCCTTAGATGAATAATTGAAGCCCAAGAGCGCACGAACATGCTGCAATGTCATGCATAATCAAAAACTGCGCTCTTGCAGAAAGGTAAAAGCTGGGAGGAGACTTCTAAGAAATAATAACATTGGTTATAACTTGTTGAAATAAATGCCTTAAAGAATCTCCGCTGCCAGAATGATTACATTCATTAAATAATTTGTCTTGGATGGCTGTCGAGCAAGGAGGAACAACCAGCGCCAACTGCCCAATAAAAGAGCCTGATGTAATGGAAGACATTTGTAACAGGAGTTAATAAATGTATCCAGCAGTAACTGCTGTACTTGTTTTGGTGTCACATATCTAATAACCAGAAGAGTGAGTGTTCTGGGAAAGGCTGGTAATGTTGCACAAACTCATTTAAGCTGTCGATATCAAAACTGAAAATTCTTTAGTTAAGCTTTGATATTATTTCAAATGTAGGAAAATCGGGCCAGGGCAAAAATATTTAAAGAACAAAGTAAAATGAATATTTATAATGCACCTCAGCTTAACCTCTGTAAGTTACACAGACCTGTCTGAGGGAGCAAAAGAAGATTCCTCCTTCTTTGGTGCATAAATTAATCAGAAGATCTGTCAAAAGCTTTTTGTCTGGTTGGCTAGCTGCCCCAATTGAAGGAGGCAGAAAGTCACCTCAGTTGGGAAAACAAGCTGTAATAAAATCTATACAGAAATGTTAACGCAATTTAAAAAATGCTACCAGTGTTTCACCATGTGTGGAAAATAAAAACACGAAGGTGACCGTATCTCTAAAATATGCTGGCTGTAATCATGAACTTCACTAGAACTGCTTATCCTCTCTTTATTTGCTTTAGGTAAAGTAAGCCTTTATGTTTTGTCACTTTCCTGTTCTGCGAGCAGCACTGACCTTCCTCTCCTTCGACCACTGCGCGACGCCTTTGTGGAGGAAGCGGACGTTTTGGAAATGGGAGTGGGGATCTCCCCGTTCTCAGATGGACTGAGGCCATCTTTAATGGATACTTGGACGGGCCCGAGGCCAGACGGGACAGGCTCCTGGATCACCATGACATCATCCTTGCTCTGCTGGCCAAGGTGCAGCTTGGCAAAGTCAAAGCCTTTAACGGTGGGAGCCTGCAGCTAAAGAAACGGGAAGAAGAGAAGGAACGAGTGGATGAACATGAGCCGAAAGCTGCACCAGCAAGACAGCGAGGGAGCGAGCACGACTTTCACTTAAGTATTTACTTATTGACAAGCATTCACCGCCTCATTGTGACATTAACCTTTACTTTTTAAAGCCTCTGACTTTACACCAAATGCCAATATGAGAGTAATACTGCAAAAAACAGGGAACTGAAGGCTCAGAAAGTGATAGTCCAATGTAGTGCAATGAATTTCCAGATTTGTAAATGAGGGAAATGACAACCAGAACGATGCCACGTTCGAGACATAATTGGGCTAAATGACTGATGAATGGATGCCCAGTGGGAGACTCACACAGTCAGACAAGAATGAATAAAGAGAAAGTCTCTGAGAAGAGCGAGAGACTTGGGTAAACATTGACTTGGTGTCTCTGTTCTTGGGGTGGTGGGGGATGGAGGCTGGAGCAGTGAGTGTAAAGCCCTCAGGACTTCCCGTCAGCAGAAGAGTAAACAGAAGATGTCAGATCTGAGTGTGTTTGCAAGCAGTTTGTGAAACTCTAGTCCTACGACACTGAAATGTGGCAACAAGCAAAGAGTGACGCGATGTGTTCCTCCTAATTCTCTGCATTACATGTGCGCACACTGAGTTTACTGAGGCAAACTGTACAGCTTAGAAGAGGCTTGTTGGTATAAAATTCCTAATCCAGTTTTCTGCTTGCCAGTATGAAACTGCTACTCCTGGGGGGAGTGAATGGGTATGTGATTGTGTGTACTGTTCTCTGTGGCGCACAAATGAGGCCAGTCTTTGAGGGGCACAACACCTCAAATAGTAAACTATGACTCATTAGAGCCAACACCGAAGCTGAACGCACACAACACTTACACATGACTTAATCATAGCCATAATAAACCATTTACAACAACACAGACACAACGTACAACTCTGTTTCCTAAAAAGGATTATTAGGTCCTTTAAAACGTAAAGATAACACGTGAAAAACTATTAATTTTCCCAAAAAATAAATGCTTACCGTACATTTGGTATAAGCAATACATTTTTAAATAGTTGGGACAGGAGCTACAAAGACTACAAAAATATTTAACAGAAAAAGGGAAACAAAAACAAAATCTAAACAAGTATTACCGTAGTCACATGAGGACTCAGGTTAGTGACTTGGGTTTAAAAAGAGAAACAGATGCCTTCACCACATTGTTTTGAAATTGCAATTAATTTGGAGAGTTTCATTATCTACAGAACATAATAGAATTATTTTAATGATATTAAAATAATGATGATGAAACATTATTTTAACATCATTAAAATATGAAGAACTAAATAAATCTCTGCAGCAAGTCCCAGAGCTGCATCCCTGCAAGTTGAAGGTTTCATGCAAAGTAAAGATAAAACATGAAAAACAAAAAGCTAGCATCTGCTCTGATATGTGCAGTGCAGTGCTAACTTACATGTATGTTAATGCTCCACTGATGCTGCATGTTACGTACAGGAACATACGTTGCCATTTGTTGGCACCTACTCGAGCAGCATGTTTCTACAGTTTAGAAAGTGCAGACACATAAAAATGAAACAGGAGTGACTCTGAACCGTCGAGCACTTTAAATCAAACTAATAATGGAAAAACATTTTGCTTGCAAAGAGGTGAAGCAACACAGCAGTAAATATGCTCCTGTCCCAGTGATGTTGTTAAAGTGGAAACGACGGTGTTTCGTTAAATACAAGCTTCATGTGATCTGTAAACATTCTGATTCTTTTTCTATGTTTTGTGAGGGGAAACAGAGTTGTATACATGATCTACCGACTATAAACACACACTTTTCTCTCTAGATACCATAATGAGGGAGATCCTACATCTATAAACACAAACAGGCACTAATCTCCCGTCTACTACATGAGATACCTCCTCCTCGGCTCGTCTCCCTTTAGACAACATTTTCTTTTTCCCGTCTTTCTTCACTTCCTCTGGTTTCTTTTTCACAGCTTTGGTCTCTTCCCTTTTTTGCTCTCTCGATGTAACTTCTTTCCTTTTCAGTTTCTTTTTATCCTCTTCCTCCTCTTCTTCCTCCTCTTCTTCTTCAGTTTCCTCCTCTTCTTCCTCCTCTTCTTCTTCAGCTTCCTCCTCTTCTTCTTCTTCAGCTTCCTCCTCTTCTTCTTCTTCAGCTTCCTCCTCTTCTTCGTCCTCATTTTTCATACCCTGATTGCTCTTGAGAGCTACTGATCTCTAAGCAGAAGCAATGATGAATAAGATAAATTGTTCTGCTGATAAGTGATGAGCTATTGTTTGTTATTTGTATCACTTGTAACAACAAGTAAACACCCAGACTATAAAAATTGACTTCTTCTTCATATAACGTGCATACGGTCTTGTTCTTTGCATAATTGTGCAACACTTGAATAATAAACCATAAACAAGTTACTTCCAACAAACATACAACAGGTCTGACTACATTTTCTACAAATCACCAGACACTGCTTTGTACCTTCCCCTTTTTAAAATCCTTCTCCTCCCCTTCCTCCTCCTCTTCATCATCTTCTTCCTCTTCATACTCCTCCTCTTCATCCTCACTAAACTCAATACCTTTTTTAGTTTGAGGGAGTCGCTGTTGACGAGAGGTCCTTGATTCTCTGAGTAACATAGTAGACTGAGAGAAGAGGAGTGGTGTTAAGTCAAAGACGAATGTGTGGATCAGAGAGGATGAGCCACTGATACACGTCTGCGTCAGAGCACTGACCAAATGCTAAGGTTATGTTCAAGTGAGGGGGAATCAGACAGAGATGAAAAGATGAGGCAGTTTTTGAAACCAAAACATCCAGAGAACCACCCAAACAGGCTGTTTGCAATCAGGAATGGAAATAAACATACATAGGATGGAGTCTTACTCCTGTCTTGCTCACATGTATTCTTAGTCCAAGCTGAGGTTTGCAGGTGGACACGTTTTAGAGATTCAGCAGCTGTTGTTCTCTAATACTACTGTTATGAGTACAGCGCTGCAAATATGTTAAACACCTGTGTGGTCTTATATTTCTGCACCACATATGAACTTCACCAAACTAATACAAACAAAAAAAGACAGCCAAATACTGGCTGTTGAGTTAATTTCTTACTTGGGAATAAAATATACAGCCTGACATTAGAAGACTGAATAAAATATTCGTGACGATAAAAAGGGACAAACACATGCAAACGTGGAGGTTTCCAGACTAACGAGTACACAGATGACAGAATCGGTCAGAGCAGGTATTACACCGACGCCATCTAACAGGCAAGTTGTCTAATATTGAGCCAATGTGTGAAGAGTGCAGGAAGAAAATCCCTGTGATCACGCTCGCATCATGTATAGCACCCCGCCTCCTGCACTCTGCTCATGTGTCAAACCTTGCCTAAACCAAACACAGCATTTGCAATAGTGAGAGGTTGTGTGATACTGGTGTTTCTGTTGTGTGCAGTTTGTGATTGTCCACCAGACAAGGGCAGTCAGATTTATTCACTGTCCACAGCTTATGTCTGAAAGCTGTTTCAGGGAGGGTAATACTATGACAGAAATCTTACTTAGGGCAGCCAAATAGCATTACTTCTAAAATTAAGTGAAGCTACAAAAGCCAGAGAGGCTTTTCAATAACCACAGATTGAACACAAAATGAGCCGAAGGGAAACTGTCGAGCAGGATTGTTGGTTGTTTCAAGCAAAAAAAGAGCTGCTGAGGCTGTTTGCTGTATGAGCAGCATCATAATTTTTAACCCAGCACATGTCCTTCAATATGTCTCTGCTGGAATCATTAAAGTTTTACTAATGTCATCCAGAAGACGGCATCATGATGTCCAAATCTGTGAGGTCTTGCAGCACAGTCATGGCAGTGACAGATAGCCTTTATTAATCATGCTGATTTATAATCCCAGGATTAATCCAGTAAATCTAATTAACAAACTATTTCTAACAAAAACACCTTCATTACATAATTACAAATATAAAATTTACGGCACAAAAGTCATTTTGAAACACTGATGCAGGAAAGCATCTGTAAAGTAAAGATGGAACTTTACCTTTTGTCTCTGTTGGATGGAGGTCATGGCGTCTGGCTGGAATTCCAGCTTGTCTGTCCGACACAACTTCCAGTAAAGGATGGAAATGATGACGATGACCACGAGGAGGGGGATCACAACCCCGATGATGATCCACATGTTTGTGTTCTCATTGTCAGAGGGTGAAGATGTCACTTTTTCGACAGCTGTGATTAGAAAAAACAAAGAAACCATAAACTGCTAAGTTCATATATTGACTACAAAGGAGGAGAAGGTGTTTTTAGAATCCAGGTTCTTTTCTGTTACCAGTATTTCCCATCGGTTGGCTGCTCTTCACATGTTCTGTATTTATTAACAGTGACACTCCTATATGCTAATGAGCTCATCTTTATTGAGTTTCAGCCTTGATCGAACTGAATCTATAAAGGTGAGCGATTTACGGGACATCTATAAACCGCAGCTACGGAAAATAACCTGGATTCGTTTCTCCCTGGACAGACACGGCGCTGCTTTGGTTTTAATTAACAGTCACTTCATCCTCTGGGAAAGCACCATAAAAGAACGCAATCAGAACGGAGACAGAACTCCCTTGAGGGGCTCTCATTAGCCTTCATCCGTTGTTTAGATTCCTAATAAGGAAGACAGGGTTTGGGTGCAGCGTGTACAAAGGGAGATAATTAGCTCAAATGTTACTATAAACATGTAAAGATACACATGGAGCTGGCAGTCAGTATCCTTTCCTCTTATTAGGATCTTGAGAACAATTAGCCATTACAATAACAGTAATGATGGTGAAGCTAAAATAATTAGTCTTTTTTTGTTTACATACACTAAAACTTCCTGCCAGCATCAAAGAAGAAAGAAAAAACACACTAACAAATTAAATAAATTCACACGGGAGTGTTTGATTGACTTGAACTATCATAGATCATCTTTTTTATCTATTTATTGAGACATACTTACGTTGTGCCAATATGCCCTGTACACGATATCCCAGGACAATAGCGGCTCTTTGGACATCCAGGCTGTTAAGCAGGCTAGCAGTCTGATCTGCAGGCATCCTCTGACTACTAGGCCCCTCCACAAAATACACTATTTCGAGGGGGAGGTCAGTACCCGCCAACCGGCTTGTGCTTACAACCTGGGAATTAAAACAAGGAGGACTGGTAAAGTGTTTCAGAATGCAGTTTTGAACAGATATGGGTAATTTTCTTTCAAGCAACAGCTGTGATAGATAAAAGGCAGGGAAAGAGCAGATCTTCTTAAACCCCGCCCCCAAAACATTCAATGTTTTATGCATCATAAATTTATCCTCCAGGGTCAGACTGTCGAAGGAGCTCTACTGTAACTTCCTGAGGCATCTGAGGGAAAACACTAGCTGCAAATGACCCATACTGTCAAGTGTGCAATTGCGCACCAGTGCATTGAAGTTGAAGGGATGCTGTGTTGACACAGTGGAGGAGAGCGAGCTCTCTGGAGCAAGTCGAAGGGGACAGAAAATTGCTTCCAGGGAGCAATATAAACATAAGAAGATATAAACATAGCAGGATATATGGAAGTGCTTCAGAGGTGCATAAGGAGATGACCTTAAAAAGAAAAACAGGTGTGTTTTTGCTTCTTATTAGAGTCACAGATCTTCCTGATCACACCCCAGATTTGATGGCTGTCATACAATAACGGAGTCACTGCCAGACCTAGTAACTCCTATATGATGGAAGCCCTTTTACCGAACTGCCAGTAATCTTATTTTTCCTCCAAAGGTAAGCATTTCCAGATGGTGCGGGGGGAAATAAAGGCTGGAGCATGACGGACTCTGTTTATTTGCTAAGGGACAAAGGCTGTCAATTCTCAGTTTTGTGGTCGTTAGTAGTGTTAAAGGGCATTTCTTTTCTTGGTTCACTCCTTAAGAACACAAACAGGGGACCATGTACGTTACCCTAAACTTCATTTCCACGTGCATGCTTTAATGTTCCCATTTGTGTCCTTATACGACAAAGTTTCCCATCTGAAACATTTGTGGATAAGAGACTGTGCTCGAGAAAAAAAAAAAGACAAAATGCTTCTAAAAATGGATTCACGACGGACGACCACACTCTAAATTAAAAATGGAATTTCTGATGAAGGTGCTAATGGGCAAAGTCTCACAATCTTAACAGTAAAGATGACTTTTTAATGGAGACAGTGGCACCTCATTTTCTGCCGAGCATTACAACATTAATCATTGTTGTTTTTTTTTTTTATTTTAACGACAGATTTGAGATTTGAGACTCGAACCATTTGACCTTCTCGAGTCCACCTTGCTGTATTTAATGCTTATACAAGCACCTGAAAGTTACAGAGTTCTACAAACTAAACAAAATGTAGTTTTTAAAATAGGGACTGACTCCTGTGTCCACAGTATACACACCGTTGCGTTTTCATATCCTTGTGGGGACATCTAGTTGACATAATGCTTTCCCTGGCCTCTTACCCTAACCCTGACACTAAAACCACATTTTGAGCCTCAAAAATGTCTTCAAACTTGTGCGGATGGGGATTTTGTCCCCATAACGGCCGTTGATCCCCACAACTACAGTAAATTTCCAATTTTTGTTCCCTCAAGATATGTAAAGATGGTCCAAATACACACACACAGACACATAACCATCATTTTAGGTCACATTTTGCATACCTCTTGGAGATCCATTGCTTAAATATTTTTAAATTCTGTCCAATTTGTCTTTTTGACCGATTAATTTGACTGATTTGTTTGTGTGTGTGCAGCCTCCCCGATGGTGCCCTGAGGCACAAGCACAGTCTGCTGTCTGTATTACTGAAAAGAGTAAAGTGCAGGTCATGCCTGGGCTGCCACAGAAAAACGGCCGGGCAGACTCCCTCATTCAGGGTTTAATCCAGTCCGTGTCTGCTTATTAGAGTGGAAAGAGGGCAGTGTGAATGCGTGTTACTGCACAGCCCAAATTCAACCTCCCTTTCATCTGTCTGGGCAGACTCATAAGATATTCTCAGTGGTGACAACACTACACTCGTTCTGTCATGACAGTCAGGGGCATCTGTCTGAGATACACCATAATTATTTATGTGCGAGAAAGCAAAGCAGAAGTTCAGACGCTTTCATCCAATAAGGCACTCGGAGATGAGTGTTTTTGAAATATTAAAACAGGCTTCTTATATAACAGCATTCTATCAAGTGAATAACACATTATCATATTTATGGATTTGAAAAAATATCATTTGGAAGAGCAGAAAGGATGCCAGAGCTAAAATTAGAGATCTAATCTTAGCAGAAATGCAGACAGCAAAGGTTCACCACTGATGTGCTTCTCTTTTCTATATTATTCTGTAGAATTCACCGAGGCAAAAACAAAGGTCCTAAATGGATGCACATGATGATATTTAGCACTGACAGTCATCTTGTCTTAGCTTGACCAGTTACTTTTGTTTGAATTTTCTGCTTCTCTTCTGATTTCCGAATCTTTACCTACCACTGACTCTGTGACAAACATTCACTTTTTGACTCTTTAGCCCCCCAACAGCAGGATACAGACAGAGAAAAAGACACAATTATTAACTGACATGCTCTTAGGAGCCATCGAGTATAAGGAGGACTGGGATAATGAGGAAGAGGACAAAAAAATAGGCAACATGAGGTTGTGGTCTTTGAATGGCTTGCCCCTGAGATGAATGGGATGGTGTTGCCATGGAGATCGAGCCGTATCCTGTCCCCTTAGAGAGGAGATGAGCAGGTGCAGAGAGGACCCACAAAAGCTAGAGCTTGATTAGTAAAGCACTAAGGCTTTCACTGGTTACAAACAGTGTCACACTCACATAATGACCCCTCTGTACTCAGAAAAGGTGGCAAGAGAGAGCTTGTATCAGGGTATAATGATACAAATGGTACAAGGAAGGATGGTTCTGCAGAGTTTTTAGAAGTTTTGTTATATAGGGAACAAGAAATGTAAAAAGCAAAAAAGTATTTGTGACCCTGAAAGAGCTTAAAGCTTAGTTGCATAGAGAATGAAAGTGAGAGACACGGAACACAAAGAAATAAGAAATTTCTTTGCATTTTTTATGTGATTACATATATGAAATATTTATTCTCTGGTAAAAAATTGAAATAAAGATATGGCTTACATTCGTGGCATGTGGAACGGGGCCCAGTGAGCCTGGGGCTACGGAGCTGTAAATATAAGCTGAGTAAAATGATTATTGAATCTATAAGCATATTACCTGAACACTACTGTTGCCTATGGTGGTGGCCCTTTTAACCCGTCTGACTGATCCTATTGCTTCACCGAGTAACAGGGCCAACCGGCGCTCCATGTTAGCTTGAAAGGTCCTCTCACCCACTTTCTGGTCCAGCACACCCAGGAGTACTACATATACACACAGCAGAAGTAATATGCTCTGTAGTAACTGCTTTACATGAACTGCAAGACTGACAAAAATCATTCAAAATCATTATACCTGTTCTAACCCAGGAAGAGCGAAGCAGTTGGCTGGTGTTCAGCTCTGGATAATGGAAAGCTAGTGGAAAAAATTATAAAATGAATCAATAAGTGCTGTGACCTTTACTCGTATTCATTGTTGGCGATCACAATCAGAGTACGCTCAGAATTTCCCAGCTAACCCAGATACAGAACTGATAATATGAAAATGGAAATAGTTCAAATACAGTCAGTACGGTACTCACGCTCAGCGATCTGCAGCACAGGAAAGCCCATGTAATAGCTGAATTCCACCATAGTGAGTTTCATTAGAGCACTGCTGATCTCTGACCCCATCAGATAACTCCTTGAACTGCGAACAGTGAAAGTAATGTCCACCGGTTTCCTCGCTAGTCCTTGTTCCTCGTATATGGGAGCAGCCATGGTGATGTTTACAATCTGAAACACAGTGGTAGTGTTACAGGAAACAGAAAAAACACATTAAAACGAATAAAACATTCTCTATCTTACTGTTAAAGTAGTATCTGTGTCTTAAAGACCTACAATTAAATTCCCTCTGAAAAGAGAACTACATAACTATGTGATCAAATAACCTCTTTAGTAACAAAAAATAATCTTCTTTAATACTCAACAACTAGAGCATGAAGCACTTTAAAAAGAAGTAGCCATGTGAAAAACACTTGGGTCATGCTCATGAGTTATGGTAAGATGAACAACGAGTAGACCAAGGAGTGAGTATAGCGTCCACAAGAACACTTGGGTCGAAATCCTTGCCTCTAATTATAAGCTCTGTGCTGCATTTATTTGGCAATAACTATCATATCCCAAAATGACCATAAGCATCCATACTTTGGAGAGACAGAGCACTTAGTTGCTCCTTTCCAAAAGAAGCAAAATGCAGAGCGATGGCTTTTGCTCCTGCAACATTGCATTACATGGACGTTACATTGTGTCTACTATTACAGTGCTTCTCCGTAACATGTGCAGCATTCTCTGTAGAGATGCTGTCTGTGGTTTGATGAGGTTGATCCAACCTTGAAAAGACAGGCGATGCATTTCAGAACACAAGGAAGACTCCAGTGTTTTCTTTTCTTATAATTGACTTTTTAATCTTACAGAATAGCAGAGCTTTGTTCTTTGAGTATTACTTCCTCTTGAGCTCTCTGTTTGGATTTTTCTATAATGCTCATAAAACACTGTCAATTACAAATACTTTACTTTCAGCCTTTTTAGATAATAACAATATAAATCTGTAGAAACACGCAGTGCATAAAGAATCCCACAGATCAGTGAGTGAAATGACTTGATTTGTATTGGTCAGCTTAGTGAACAAACAACATTTTCAGCTTTTTTTCTTTGAGTAAAAACTCGATATTTTTAAAGCCTTTTTGTTGTATTTGGTCAAGTTGATAAGAAATTAAATATTTCATTTTTTCAGATTCTTTCAGATCCTAAGCCACAATGAAAGCATCCTAATGAAAACATCCCAGCTGGAATGCACCTCCATGACTGCCCGTGGCTTCCCTCACTTTGTGCCACTCACATGCACTGTGAAATTAGTCGACTCCTTTGATCGCCTGCGGACTTCGGCGAAGGCCCTGGTCAAACCTCTCTCGATGCTCTCACTGAAGTTGCAGAACCGCACGTCTACGTGGCCAGGAACAAACTGCAACACTGCACAGACGAATTGAATACTTTCTGACTGAGCTTAAAAAATAAAGGTCATCACAAAATTTCAAATTCTGCTAAATGCTTCAAGTGCCCTCGGAAAAAGACTCAACAAAAGGTCATTTACCTGAGTGGACTTGATAATTTCTATCTGGCGTCGACCAGTTTGGAGAAACAGACAAGAAGCGGCGCCCCGACCTCCTCAGTGCATTGACGACAGACATGCCTGTGTACACGACCGGACCAGACACCACTCGAAACACAAATTTTGGTGGTGGATCCACAACCTACATTAAGAAAGCAGAAATTAATTGTATTAAAGAGACACACTGTACATTAAGTAACTTATGTTAAATAGGCTGTGTATCGTCTGGAACTCAATGTGACAGAAGTGGTCTGGCTGAGTTTGTATGTGGCGCTGTGACAATCACAAAAACACCCCAACACAAACATAGACTATACTTTTAACACATAAACGCATACCACCAATTTACACCCACACTCTGTGTGAGCCACTACAACTCCGTTCACTCAATTGCTCAAAAATCTAACAACATCTAGCTCAGTAGGTAGCGTGGTCGCCCCATGATCGGAAGGTCGGGGGTTTGAATCCACTGAATGGCTACCCCGAGGAACCTCCTGAGCAATGTACCATCCCTACACACTGCTGGGCACCTGAATAGTGGCTGTCCACTGCTTCACTGAGTGAATGGGTTAAATGCATCAATAAAGTATACATTATTATTATTGTTATTATGATCCGTCCATTCGCTTCCACTTATCCTTTTCAGGGTCGCGGGGGGCGCTGGAGCCTCTCCCAGCTGTCACAGAGCACGAGGCGGGGTACACCTTGGACAGGTCTGTCGCAGGGCTAACACACAGAGACAGACAAGGATTCGCACTCACATTCATGCCTGCATTCACACCTGGGCAATTTAGATAGTGGGGATAGGTTAATTAACCTAAGTGCATGTCTTTGGACTGTGGGAAGAAGCCGGAGTACCCGGGGAGAACCCACGCAAACACAGGGAGAACATGCAAACTCCACACAGAAAGACCCCGGGCTTATGGTGGAATTGCACTCAGGACCTTCTTGCTGTGCAGCAACAGCGCTAACCCATTTTTCCCCCATATTTTTCTTAATTGCAAAAAAATGGTTGACACCTTGCATTATTTAAAATATATGGAAATATGTTTAATAAACTTACTTGCAGTTCCACTGATTTGTTAAATTCCCCTTTCAAAATGTCTCTGACCTGAGATTTAGCATATCCTACAGTGGCCCCGGCTGGAAAACCTTGTGAAAAAAGCACAAGCTAATGGTCAATGTCTCTCGTATACTCTGCTGTCTATAAATAACTCTTTCAAGCACAGTTAAGTAAGACAAAACACATTAAATGCCTAACTTACCGATCCTGATCAAATAAGCGGGTTTGTTAACGTTGCAGAGGTACGATCTTGATGTTGGTGCTATAGCTGTGATTTTACCAACAGTGGTAGAGATGATGTTGACAATAGTTGAGGCTTCAGAGGTGGCAGTAACTCTGGTTGTGGCTTGATGGGGAGTAGTTGTGGCAGGTGTACTTGTGGGTGTAGTAGAGACTTTATTAACTACACTACTGGTTGGGATATAGGTCAGTGTGGCTGGGGTGTCAACTCCATCTTCAGTCACCCCCTGATCACCCATCACAAATGGAGGGGGCAGAGTCACATTCTGAGGCGTGGATTCAGTTGAAACTATAGTTGCATTGAGAGTTGGATCATTGGTAAAAGCAGACTCTTCAGGAGCTAATTCTGTTGTACCGGCTGTACTATTGGCAGCAGGCTCAGTGGGAACAGGGGAGAAGTCTATAGTTGCAGTTAAGACAGCAGTTGCATCCATAGTACTTTTTGGGGGAGACTCTGTAACATACCAATGAACATACGTAAGAGAGGAGGCAAAATTTAAATCTTCTGGCAGCAAAGGCGTTGTACTTGGCTGCACAGCTTCTGTAATTGGAGTGCTATCCAGGCCAACGTTGTTTGTATGTGCAGACCAATCTGTGGTGGACACCTGACCATCCGAAGAAGAAAAGGAGTGGAGGGAATGCGTTGGGACTATGGAAGGATCAAGAAAAGGCTGAGAGGCATTGGCCACCTGAGGACTCTCCTCTGTGGTTACTACAAAGCTCGTTTCATCATGAGGCTCAAGCCCCGAGAGATCACTGGAGGACTCCTCTTCAATCACTTTTGTATCATTGCTGAAGCTGTTGTTAGGTGTGCTGTCTGTAGTACTGATGGACACCACAGTAATGTTCCCCCTGTGTTCAGCTCCGCTTTCTGAACCGTTATTCTCCTTGGTCAGCTGATTGTTATAATATTCCAAGCTGTTCATGTCTGGCAAAAGGACATCTGTCGGTTGAATTGTGTACGTATCTGACCAATCTACGTCTGAAATGTCAGGCACGTCACTGTTAGGTGTTGGAGTAGGTTCCAGGGAAAACTGAACTGTTGTTGAAAATGAGGAAGGATAAATAGATCTAGGAGAAACTACGGTGCTGTACGCTGTCACGAGGCTGGGGGAAGGGGAAACGTACAGAGGATTCAGGGATGAGGGAGATATGCCCACTCTGGAAGGGAAGGACGTGTCATAAGTTTCTGTATAGTCTTCTAGATCATATGAGTCGGAGGGCACCTTGGTGACCAGAGAATAGTCTTCTCTATCTGCATTGAAAAAAGACATCGTCTCCAAGTAGTCCCCAGACCCCCAGTCTACTTCCATGGTGTTGGTGGGGTAGAAGTCCTCTGGAGAGAGCTCTGTGGGTTCAGATGAAGGTGATGCAGGGTGGGGGGTGATGAAAGGCACCTTGTAGCCAGGAGACTGAATCTCATCTGGGTTGGGTAGCATGTTTATATCATATGCATGTTTGTTTTCCAGTGGGGGATTACTGGAGCTCAGCTGGTCTGCATGCATTGGTTTCATATGTGAGTCCTCTGCTAAAAGGTCTGTGAAAGTCTGAATAGGTGGCCCGAGAGGCCCTTCAGGTTGGAAGGTCATCCTTTTCTCAGAATTAAGACCTAGCTGGGGTGTTGGAGAAGGCTTTACTGATGTTATGGATATATTTTCCCAAGGCTGTAGCTGGGACTTTGTTTGAGCTTCTGAGAGAGATGACCTCGCCAGCTTCCAGCCTAAGGAGAGTTCAGCTGGTCGTTGAAACTGTGGACTAGACTCCCGCACAGGTACAGATGGTCTTACGGTTGGAGTCGTCAGAGTGTGTGGCTCTTCTGCAGAGGCATCTCTTAACATGATGACTTTGGAGTTTTCATATGCAATATGCCCCCTATGAATGTTATCAGCAGTCCTAACTTCATGGCTTGGTTCAGGATTGGATGGGAGGGCACCAGGTGAGTCTAGAGTCTCAAAGGCAGTATAATGCGAGTCAGGTAAGGCTAATGGTGATGATGTAGGACTTTGGATATCTCCAAGAAATCCCATGGGATCATGTGTAGAGTCCAAAGGAGATTCATCTGCAGAGGAACAAAGACAATGCTTCGTATCAGTACAGGAAACATAGGGAAAATTATTTAGAGAGACAATGACTGAAAAAGAGGCTAATTCTAAAGAAATCATTTTACCATTTAATTTTTATTGCTGAAAATGGTTGTTTAAGTAATAAAAAGACAAAGAAATACCCTGCTGAGCTTGAATCTCATATCAGCCCTATGAATCAGTAACTGTAATTTCATCCCTTGTGAATGTTTACTTTGTACTCTGGTCTGTTAACAGGAATGAAGGAGTGTGATGGAGTCAGTGTTGAATGTGTGATTTTTGCCAAAAAAAGTGTGTTTAAACTGTTGCACACCGAGCCAAGATGAGAGCAAACACGACTTTTCACGGCAGACAGGGAGGCTACCCACTCTAAGCCATGTTGTATAACTGGACCGGCATTGCATTAGTGAACATTGGTGTTATGTTTACTGGTGTCGAAATGGCCAACATCAACTGTATCATCTATAAGGGTTTAAAAAGATATAATGGAAGGACATCATAATGGAACAGGGTCCATTATGATGTCCATTTGCAACAAACAGTGAACATGAAGACAATGCACCCGGATGAATTTATACTTACAATAAATCAATACTATATTTAAAATAGCTTGATCAGATTTAAATTTCAGATCGATAAAGTGGAGATAGCTTCGCAGAAAACCTTTCGACTGTATGTCACCTAAAGCCTGTACATAGATCAGTTCTTATCAGTATCAGACTCCTGAGAAAAATAATTAGACTCAGTCACTAGTTTAACTCTCCTTTGCTTAAGTGGCTACAAACAAACAAAAACCAAAAACGAAAGAAAATGTCATTAGAATAAAAGAGCAAGGACGGTCTCACAGGCTAGTGATGTGAAAATCATTGGGGAAGCAAAGAAAAGCTGACAGATTTCTTTGGTTCCAGTTGTGAATATGCTGACATACACGCACGGACCATATGTCTTAAGATCTTACCAATGAACTCTCGAGAGTGCATTTAAGACCCTTTTTCATGGCACCTGATCTCGAACTGATGGATGGTGCAATTTTCAGCTCATCAGCAAGCCCCTCTACAGCGTGCACACAACATTAAAATCATTAAGGCCGACTTTTGAGCAGTCAAAATGCAGAAATAGCAAATGCCGCTTACGCAACGCATTTCAAACTCTATTTAGGTGCCAAAGCACTCCATATTGCGTAACAAAGTACATGCACATCATGCATGATTTAATTTGGGAAGAGTCTTGATTACAAGCCACTGCCTGGCATATTTAACACTGCCTACATGAACTGGAACAATTCTTTAATTATTAATGGAAAATAGATGTTTTACACTTATCTGCATATGTTTGCCTCTTTCATATACCCAAATATGTTTCACCAACCTTAATGCATGGCAGTCTTACTAACACTGTGCAAGAATTTAACACTGTCAGTTAAACATAACTATTATCCATTACCAGCCTTGTTGCTAATAGTGGCCTATTATCAAATCAAATGATTTTACCAGTGTTAATGGCAGCTGTTTATCTGTTGTGATGATTTAATTGTCCACTGACTGAACTGACCGAAAAACACGGTTATAAAAATGAAGATGTCTTTGTTTCACGAGTTTATGGCGGAAAATCATCACAACAAAACAACCACAGATAATCAGAGACCGGGTGACTTAGTGTGCCTGCTTACAATAAATGATATGTTTATTAATGCTGTTGGGTTTATGGATAGCTAAATGACTTGATGCAAGGCTCACGTCTGCACTGAGCCTTACAAACAAACTCTTTTCAATAAACTTGGTGCAGACTGTAAGTCTTAAATTTGTCACTGAAAGTAGGTCTTGAACAGAGCAAGACTTCAAAGGCACCATTGTTGTCATTGCCAGAAGCTAGCCACCAACAGCCTCTACATAGTGACTTAGCAGCAGCTGCAAAGGCTGCTGCTTTTTGTAGTTCACAGACGCTCTGCAGAATCATGCACTCTTGAAAATAGCCACAGAATAAGCTAAGGGAGAAGACTATTTTTAACAGCGCTAGTGCAGATCGCATCGCTTAGAAAAAACATCAACAAAAATAAAATGCATTTTGGGGCCATCATCTTCAATTTACTGCATCGAGTCATACAAGCAGACGCCTCTGGCTTGGCCCAGGAGAAATCTCGTAGCTTAATTATAACCTACGCTGGTACCTTAATCAAGTCAACATGCTAGCATAATAGAGCATGCTGGAAAGGACTTGGAAAAGAAAAGCCAAGTCTTTCTTCTGTGAAGGCTAGTCTGTGTTGCACATTTTCCAAGATTCTTGGTTTCTGTGCCAAATCTTTGAACCCACAGGGATGTAACACACAGCTGGGCAGATGCATGTGCACACTGCACTGAGCACACAATAACAGGAGAAACACTAAAATAGAAGGACTCGCGGCATCTAGTCATCTAGTCTCTACAGAGAACACAGCAGAGAAACGAAAGTCATTCTACAGTGGCAGCAAATCTTCTATAGGTAACTGTGAGAAAGATGCTATTTTAACTGCTAAATAACTCTTAATTAAGTCAAACTCATTTGGCTGTGAACAAAAAGATGTTTGGAGCTACAGATATATAAAACAAGAAGCAAAGACAGTGCAGACAAGCTTTATATAAGAGCATGTTGGACAACAATGCTGATGTTTGAGGTCACGCTGTTAAACAAGACCTCAAACTGTCACCTCAGCTCAACACACCATTACAGCGACACAGGGTTTCATATACAGTCACATTTGTGATTATTAACCAAGAACAGATTACTGACAAAAACATCTAACACAAAAACAATGATTGACAGGAGAATGATGATAACAATGATAACTGCAGAGATGTCGGCGATGGTGATGATGATAATTATCACGGTGGTAAGTAAAGACAGGATGAAGGAAAATGGACAGCCAACATTTAATTACTGATGTATTAGAACAAATCTAACAACACTAAATTGCAAAAGCTGAATTACAAACATACAAAAAAATTGACTGTCTATCTGTAATACTTAAATATGCACAGTCTACATACTTGAAGGCTAATCTTTGATGACACCCTCGGCTCAGTGTGACAGACAGCAGCCCGAGTTAGGGCTAACATTACAGAGTGCAAAAAAAATGAACAATGGACTAGAAGGCTATCGTGCGCTACCACCTGTTCCCTGAAAGAGGAGCGCGTCACACTCGGCTGGCCGCTCATTGCTCGGCCTGCCTGTGAAATGATTAAGCACTGAGACACGTGCAGATGGACACCTCCGCACACCAGGTCAGGAGAGCATAAATGTCAAGTCCTCAGCAAACGTACATGACAGTGTCCCAGTTTCTCTTCTCCCTTTCTAATCTCACTCCCCCACCTACAGCAGTCACCTTTTTAAAAAAATTATTATTTCCAATGTTTATTTTGACGATATAACCTTATTTTACTGCCAATGAAGCTAATCACAGACACAGGACGGACTGAACCAGCGAATACGTCGCATTACTCATCATGTAGGAATCAGAAATTCCATTTATTCATTGCAAATCATAAGTTAGTAACATCCCAGTAATTCCAGCTCATCGGATCTCAGTGTCCCTTTTAGCCCAGATTTTCTCTGAGCTAAAAAGGCTTAAAGTGCTCATACACTTAAACAAATGTGGATTTGGCCGTTAACCTGTTTCACTACAACAACAACAGTGATTGCAAACTTTTAAGTGGGGGCATTTTCTCCTTGCATTAAGCAAACCTTACAGATAAATTGTGCAGTATTTTATACCTGCACAGTTGGTGTGGTGCATTGTACATGTACAATGACAATAAAGACTGTTCTATTCTATTCTATTCTAATTTAACATACAGAATCTGCTGATTGCTTTTCATCAACAACAGGCGCTTGAGTGAAAACTTTTCCATATTCAAGCAAGTGATGGCACAAAAATAACACTCTTTCTGTGATCTGGATGGTTTGTTCAGCTTCCGTTTATACAGGCAGCTCTGGGGTTGAACGACTGCCAGCAATCATGTAAAAAAAGGTTCTGACAAGAGAGGGATTATTACCGATGGTGGCTGATGTAATGATCCTCTCTAAAATCCCTCCAATCAAAAACAGAAGAGACTGCACTCAAGGCAGAACCTACTTCAAGTTTTTTAAGTAGCATCAGAGCAGTGACCAGTGTGCAGGTTGCATAATCGATTACACATTTATCCATTTTAGCCAAACTGCACAAAAAGCCGGTTGATTTGTGCGAGCATGATGCAGCGATAAAAGTTTAAATATTTTATGCAGCATTTTTATTTAAACCGTCAGATAAACATCATTTTAAGGAATTTTGAGTGATTGCAAATTTGAATGATTCTCTGTTTTGAATTAAGTTTACAGAGTAAAATTGTAAAAAGGAGAAAAGATAACAACGTACAATAACCGTACTTTACACACACAATAGTAAAGCCTACATCATGAACACACACACACAAAAAGGAAATCCTCCAAGTAAGCTGAAATGTGATTTTGCCTTCGGTGTCTGCTTATGAAAACAGTTCCCAGGGCCCAAACAAAGAGCTGATAATGCCTCTCAGCAGACAGCACTGCGCTGGAACTGAATCGGAGAAAATACCTTTCACTGGTCTCCTTCACTCAGCCAGACTCGAGGCTCACATAGACTGAAAAATGCATTTTAGAATTATGCTTTTACATTTTCCACATTGTTTTTTATTAAAAATGTATAATGTAAACTAAGAAAGATATTTATAAAAAAGTGGCAAACCCAATCCATTATAATTGTACTGCACACACACAATGCTGAAGCTCATAATAATTAAAACAAACCGATCCTGCTAGCAGAAATGTTATTTTGACATTCCTGTCTTCACATGAAAACAGATCCCAAGGCCCAAAGAGGGGACCTAATAATGCCTGTCAGCAAACAGCACTCTTGTTGACGTCTGGAACAGAATCAGAGAAAATACCTTTCACTTGTCTCCTTTATTCAACGAGACACTGCGCTCAC